GCCATGTTGTAGTTTTCTCCTGCTTGTTGTTGTGTTTGCTGGCGAAGTCACTCGTGTGACTTCGTGCTCGGTCGGTGACAGCTGCTCCCCTGCTGCTTCGCATCTCGTGGGAAGGGCCAAGCAGCAGTTTACGCGAGCAAGACGTGCTGCTGCAGTAACATGCTGCTGACGGCTCCTGTGGAAACCCGGGGTGAGCAAAGGAGCTGAAATAAGGAAGCTGTGGTTGCATAACATTACAGCTTTATGTATGCATTCACAGCTCTCTCGCGCACGCAAACACACACACACACACACACACACACACACAGCTGCATTTTGCTGCCTGCAATCTATCATTAACCTTGACAGTATTTCCACTGTGACCCCACTCCTGTCCATCTGCCCTGCTGAGGCTGAATCAGCTTACATTGTAAAACAAGAGATGATGGTGCCAGTGTGTCAGAAGTGGTCATATATTACATCAGGTATTTAAAAATATATTTAAAACCTATATCTGGATTGTTTTTCCATCAACATTTCAGCAGTATTTATTAACCTGCGCAGATCACTGCAGAAAAAAAACCTTCAAATACCAAATCCTTCTGTGTTTCTTTTCTTTTCTCTGGTATTTAAGGTGGTGCAGATTTTTCCATAATACATCCACCAGATAATAAAGCAATAATAATTCATAACTAGAAGTTTTTGACTAAATTTCTGGACGGTCCTTTTAAGCCACTTATGCGGGAAATGTTTCTTTCCTGATGGCTATGAAGCTGTATAAAAGCTGTAAAATAATTTTTTTAAGTTTGACTTTGCATTGAAAATGTATTTAAAACAAATATATAATACATTGGTTTGATTTGAAAGACCTCAGTTTCTTTGCAAGAAGACAAAAACTGTTCTTGTGATAAGCAACCAAGATGACACTAAACAGGCAGTCGGTGCACATCCAGAAAGGCATCTAATATTGCATTTCAGTCAATCATTTATGCCTTACAATTATAGCAATTAGCTGTTTTTATCTAACACTATTGGAAATACTAGTCACATTTACAGAAAGGTACTGCTTTTTAAGGATCCTATCTGTGTAAGGAGCTGAATGAGTCAATGGCACCCCAAAAATGGCACCAACACCTTCAAAATACTCTAGTTTGGTGTTCATTCTTGGCTTGAGCTGCATGGTGAATTGGAATATTGATTGTGTAATGAGGGTATAATATTGTTGCTTTTAAGCTTAATATATTACCTTTACTTTTGACCAATAAGATGTGATATTCTATATAAATATAGAATGTCAACCTTATTTGTCTTTGAATGTTTAATCAGAAGAATTAGTATTCTTTGCTTTTTCAGTGATCATAACACACTTTGTATTAATTCAGAGACAAGTTTATAAAAAGTAAGAAATGTATTTTCTAAACAAATTAAAAACAAAACGAGTTATAAATAAGATGAATGTGATGTATGATCATGGAATGGGGCGTGATGTTCATCAGAACCTTGTATCTAGAAGAAACTATGTTCTGGGTGTGAAAAGAATTTGGTCTGCATTAAATGCATTAAACTATAACTATAACTCAACAATAACATAAAAATGTTTCATTGTAATATTAAAATTAATTTCAACTTAATTGAATTAGGCACAGATTATTCAAACATTAATATTTATTATTGATACAACATTTGTTCATTCAACCATATGTTTATTTAATGATTATTTAACTTATGAGTTGTAAAAGTTCATCTTTCATGAGAGTGTGCAATCCTGCAGTCTTATCAAAAGAAAGCTTTGTTTGGGAACATAGGCTGATATCTTGTTCCTCCTGAAATGTCAACACACACTGCAGAATCTTTTGGGCTTTAGAAGACAGAATAGAAACTCCACTCGGATAGTGGAATATTGTCTGTAAGTGACCAGACACTGTGTAGGTCAATATGTAGGTGAAAATTTACCCTTTCTGAACGTTACAATTGCTTATTTTGCAAATTTTTATGGGGGTGTGCCCACTCAGTTGTTGCTTTCACAGATGTACAAACTGTATAAGTTGTACCTTGTAAAGGTGACTAATCAGGCTTTCCAACTAAAACACCAATCAGTCAAACTTGACTGAAATTATTTTTCCAAGGATTTATTTTGTCATCCACATTTTCTGCTTATTTCTTCGGTCAGACCTTACAGTCTAAGATACAAGAGCACCCTGGGAAAAGGAAATTCTGCCTCTAGCTGACTATTAGCTAATAGTAAGTTGTGAATTATTTAGTATTTAATAAATCATTCATGATAACCCAATTAAGGATGGATTAAAGAGTAGTTTGATGATGGTGACGAGTTGTACAACCTAAAGATAAATTGTTGTGTGTGTGGCCAAGAAAAAAAGTGCATAATTTCTGTTTCATTCTGTTTCATTAAAGCCTAGAAATCCAGACAAACCACAACAGCAGCATATAGCCTTTGCTCTGCAGGTCGGTCTATGCTCCTCTGTAGTCTCAGCAGGGCTACCATTTGCCTGAACAATTTTGTCTCTGGCCAGTCACAGTGCTCTACATTTGTTGGGTGAGCTTAACGGTAGAGCTGTGTTGAAGAAAAACTACAAAGATGGTGTCTGTTCAGAAACCGTGCCCCCTTGCAAAATTGGTGTCTACCCCATGGCCCCCCTGGGGAAGACCCTACCACCACCACCTTCTCTAGGTAAATCACATCCATGTTCACATAAACCTTACATTCATCTTCTTTAATCAATACACAAATTAAAAAGCCAGTAGCTACATTTATAAGTAATGGGCAAATAAATCTTTATTTAAATTAAAATGTATGTTGCTGAGGCTCACCATTTTCAAAAAGTATAGATCTTAATCGTATTTGTGGAGGTTTTCGGCAGAAACAGGCAAATTAAGCTGCTCTAAAATTCTACAACAACATATTTTAAGCAAAAACTGAAATAACTGTATGAAATTTAATAAAAAAAAATGTTTTGACCAAATTGTTTCTAAAATTTGAGCTAAATTTGCTAGATTAATATGGGAAAGACTGAAAATGAAAAATAATTATGGCACATTCAGTTCACAGCTCCAGGTTAAGCTGTTGCAGCGTTATCATGAAGGAACTAATTTGGTGTGCCACCCTAAAAACGTCACTGGTCTCGTTGGGCCACCCATGTGGAACCTTCCCGGGTCGCCGTACTTCACAGCTCTTCAGCACGGATGATGTTTGAAAACCCCACATTCCTGTTTTTAAGGGAGAACAATTAAATCAAGTTCAAATAATGCCATAAATTAACAAAGATCAATAGAAACCTTAAAGAACTGTTGAACAGGAATACATTGAGAGTATAAAAAATAAGGTTGAGACAAAATGTGAACATATCAGGAGTGGATTAGAACTTCTGCTCAATACTGCTCGTGAATACAGTGTTGTTGTCTCTGACTTTGTGTTTGTTTTTTTCTCTTCGTGCTTCAAACAGAACATATTCCTGGCCCGTTGTGTTGCGTTTGTTTCCTGTCCTTGCACCCTGCAGCTTATCGAGGCAGATGGGTGCCTTCCCGAGTCCGGGTCTGCCGAAGGTCACTTCCTGTTTGAGGAATACCTTATAGTCTCCTTCCTGTGCATGCTCAGGGTGAGGGACCAAATAAAAATTCACAAATTGGTTACTTCCTTGTGTAGGTGACTTTTAGTAAATATTTACAAAACCTTAACATGATTTATTGTGGATGTAACTCAAATGAACTAAATCTAAATAAACTAAATAGCTTATTTAAATGTTTTACTTGTTGTATGTGACAGGTAGTATTTTTTTCACCATTTTACTTTGAAGGAAGTTGTATTTTTTAAATTGTGTCACCTACATAAATAAACAAAATCAGCCCAGTGTTAACTCGCTTAAAAAGAAAATTATTAGTCTTCTGTGTATTTTTTACCTGTTTTAAACTTTCCTTATTCGTTTGATTTTATGATCGTTTGAATTATTTTGATCCTTTTGTTCTTTTTAGACTTAATCATGTTTTAAATTTGATGTTCTTACTGAGGCCCTGTGTGATTTGTCACTCAGAATACTTACTTTTAGCTCCACTACAGTTATGTTATAATCAGCTGGGTGTTAAATATATAATCTTTTCACAATTTAAAAATTTTTCCCTTAATTTATTTTTATATTTGGCCATCAACATTTTTCCACTTCATTTTTCATTTTGCTCCCTAAAAGTGTTTCATCTTTTGATGCGTATTAAACTCACTGGTCAATACAGGTAAAAAATGCAAGTTGATGAAAATTTTGCACCAATTATCCATGTGAAATATAAAATACATACATCTCTGGCAATAAAAATATATTTTTCATAATTCATTCAGAAAAGTTACGACTTGTAAGTCGCTTTGGACAAAAGCGTCTGCTAACTACATAAACATAAACATAAAAGCATAGCACTGAAGGTGTGGGACACTCCTTTAATCAATACATTTGCAGTGGTCTCTAGTAGGAATGAATGCTTTGAAAGTCAGAGGCTGATGCAGGAGATAGGTGTTGGAGACTATTTTATGTTCAGTCTGCATGAAAAACTTAGTGACATTTATAATCATGAATTTTATAATCAGAAATAATCTGTAAAAACGAGTTTTCAGTGTTCCTCACCTTTAGAAACTCACTTTATAAAAATTACCACATGTCCTAAGTTGCAAGAGATCAGATCAAACAGATTTACCTGCAAAGATTATTAAACATTAGGAGGGTCGAACCGGATGTCAGGAGTTTCAATCAATCTGCACCCTTGTTTCCGAACAAAAATGATGCAGTATTGAGAGAAAGGGTGGGGGTGTAGAGGAAGAGGTCGTGCCTGCTGTGAAGTTGCAGCCAGGTTATGTAAAATGGAAGTAAAGCCAGCTAGGACACCAGGAAGCTGGAAAAAAATATGCGTCACCATTCAAAATCAATCTTCATTGATCGTCCTCAGTGGCACGATCACCTAACACTCAGAGAGGGTCAAAACCACAACACCCATCACGTACAAGTAAAGACAACACAACAAAGTTCATGAAAAAGAAAAAAACAAACAGACATACATGTTTATTTTACAGGAAGGGCACATTTGTTTCTTGTACAAACTGTAAACTAAATAATCCTCAAGGGCTATAATCTTTGACATCACCTGGATGAACACCAGAAACATGTAAATAAGTTTTTATTTACTGATGCACTTTACTGTGGAGTTCAATCCCACAATGGAGAAAAATATACAGCATGTAAGTGTGCTACACACATTATTAAGGATTTCTGAAAGCACTTGTGTTCATCACAACATTATACAATACTCTATCCCTGCAAACCCCAACATTTAGAACTCACATGTTTAAGATTTTTGTTATTACATCAATCTCTGTCACTGACTTTAGGCTGAGGTAGGGATTCTATCACCATCGGAATCCATTAAAGTGACAGTGTGTATTTTCCCTGGCGATAGGGGGCAGTACGTACCAAAATTGTATTTTTGTTTCAGACCTGCAGATGGCCGTTAGGGTCAAAAATCCCTGGGAACACATTTTTTTCAACAAGTACTTGTCACATCTTTTTTTTAATCTTCTTTCTGTATTTCTTCTCAATTTCCATTGTTTGTATTTGTTTAACACATAATGTAACAAAGTTTTTTACCTTAATTTGCTGACCATTTCGGCATGACACAGTCGCCATCTTCCAACAGAAAATGATATAATGACTGAGACGGCACACGGATCATAAGAACAGAACAGCAAAAGTACAGAAGATGGATAAAAGAAGCGATTGAGATAAGATGTGGACCCTGGATCATGAACAGGATTTTACACACTGGATCATTCATGGGATGTGGTGATCGGCCGGGAAGCCGCGGACGGTAGAGGGCGACTCCGTCCCCTACTGCCCGCGGATAAACAGCGGAAGTAACGCCGTCAACACCGACAAGGCTCTGAAGATGGCAAATGTGTGATTCAGAAGCTGTCAACAGATTGTTGTAAAAAAAAGTCTTCGCTACGCTGTGTAATAATCAGGAAAAAACCAATAGACGTCATCAAATCATTCATCCTTTAACAGAAGGACAAGCACACCAGATTCCCTCTCATCACTGGCAACGAGCGAAGAGCTAAATGTGTCAAACAACAATATTTATTAATGGTGAAAGTTTTGTAACAACTTGCAACAAATCAATGAACACGTTTTGTCCTCTTGGGCTCCCGTAGAATGCAACATGGCATCTGAAATGGCGTCGCCCACAGATTTAGACCCGCTCCCATGTATTTTAGACCCGATTTTTATGCTTATTTGTTATGAAGCTGCCAATATTTTTCAACAACTGTGCATCATTTATTTCATTTCCTACATTTCAATGGATATTTCCAGAGATTAATGGTAAAAACTACATAATGTCACTTTAAACAAGACGACTCGTCTTTTAAATTGTCCAGTTTCAACATCTGCTGAACGCTCATTTGTAAAGAAGTAAGATTTCTGCTGGATGGGTTGTGTCACCACTGACTGAGACACTATTTGCTCCCTCCCTACCAGATCTACTGGCGGGGCTGCCTAGAGGAAACACTCCACATCAAGCAAAAATAAATAAATTAATAAAACAGTTTTGCTTCTGGGAGTTTTTACTTGTCTCTTCTCCAAAATCAAAGAAGCTGCAGAGATGACTCATGGAGTTGACGAGGTGGAGACCCTTGCAGGGGGAGTGCATGGGAGACATTTTAATTCTCAACTGGCAGATTCAGAATAGAAAATCTCAAATTTAACTCCATTTCTACATTTACACTGTATTTAAGAGTATCAAAACACTGGTTAAATCACAGCATGTGTCACCACATTCAGGCAGAAACATGAATTTTGGTTTGAAAATAATCAAACAAACAAAAAAAACATGTTTATAATACAGCAACAGTAAAATGGCCATGGGGCTCTGGTTCAGCTCTTTGTCTTTCAGAAAAGAAACTGTCTGCTCCGTATGTTTAATAATGTATTAAATCTTTGTTAACGGGGATGCTCGTCAAGTCGACAGAGGCAACCGAGAGAGGGAGGGAGGAGGAAGGGGGTGTGAGGAAGTGAGGGGGTGGAGAAGAAGTCCTCCCTAAGGCAGTTCTCTTTTCATGTCCAATCCTGAAAGATTACACTTTCTTCATGTTTCATCCCATGTTGGAGCTGGCGTGTGCCTTGGAAATAATGATGGTGGTAAATTTGGAGGAGCTGGTGCCGAGCGAGTATGGAGCTGATGCAGATGTGAGAGAATAGAGAGTTTAAGGCACGTGGCACGTTTTGTACCTCAAGCGCTTCTTACGTCAGTTTAAATAACCCAATGGTGCTGATCCGAGTTTTAAAAACGTCACGTCCTAACCTGATGATGGAGCAGCAAGTGGGCGGATGCAGGGGGAGGACGACCAGGGCGCTTTTGTGGCACAAGCTGAGCCAAAAACTTTCCCCTCACTTTGCTGCTATCTGGACAGTGTTTGATTTTCCAGCTCAGGGAAATCAAAAGCTTTATTCAAAGTCAGTTGCGTTTTATTGGATCTACTCTTTCTTTCTGTGATGTGCAACAACGTCACGCCTTTGTGGACGGAAACAAGGCACAGAAAGAACATTGTGGAGGATTCTCTCCCTAGCAACACCATAAGGATCAAAATGAGTCTATGTACAAACTTTGACTTCAGAGCTAATAATATCTAACTCTGATCACAGCATGGGCTCACGCATTACACAACGTAATTCACTCTATGTTAAAGCAAATAGGATCTCGTGTTTCGTAGGCTTTGGTGACAGAAAAGTGACATTTATTGTTCCATTTTTTATTTTAAAATAATTTAAATTACTTTAATTGTGTAACTTGTAGAATACTCCATACTCGCTCGGCACCAGCTCCTCCAAATTTACCACCATCATTAACGTTTGTGTTGTTGTGTATAATTTTCATGAAGCTATTTTACAACATTTCTCTAGCCTAATCAGTAATTTTTTTGTTTTTTTCTTTCACAGTTTTTCATTGCCTTTGGTCAGAATACACTCTACAAAATAAACTGTTGAATTAACTTAACCAAGTTATGTCAACTGGTTCCATTGAACCTAGTTGCTTAAATGTAAAGGGTAATATACTGTACATGTTTATGTTATGTTAAAAGTTAGTGGAGCTGTTTGATATAATTTAGTTAATTCAACATTTAATTATTAGAGTGTACTTTTAATGATTGTTAAGAAGCTGAAAAATAAGTTGAGCACATTTATGGCCCCGATTCTTAATGATGCTTAAAAAAACAGTAAATGAAAAAAAAAGTTTAATGAGTACTTGCTATTATCAACTAAAGATGTAATAAAGCTAATTTAATTTCTTCCACACCAGAAGAAAAACATAAGTTTTGTTCTTTTTTGCTTTTTTTTTTTTATTTGGGCAATCAATATATGATGTAATAGTTATTTATACAATGTTAATGTTTAACTTTTTATTGAAACATCACAATATTTTTAATAGTTTTTTTAATTGTGTTTTTTTTTCTTAGTTTTCAGTTCACTAATAAGATCTAGGAACTAAACGGTGCCCTAGCAGTAGGACTGACCATGAGCATTTCTATAGGGCCCCCAGAATTACTCACAGCTGTATTTTAACAGCAATGTAATTGTGAAGCTCTGGGCAGCTGAAACTTTCTTCACAGTATTTTCTTTTCCACTTACCCCAACAACTGCTTGTTATTATCACAATACAGCTGTGCAAAGACACAAAACACAGCCAGTGCCTTGGGGTTATTTTTCATAATGGTGTTTTGTCTGTGACTCCACCTCTACAAACAGAGCGGCTGTCACACTGCATGCTCCACATCATCGCTACAGCACACTATGGCTCCCAGCATGAGCAATTTACAAAATCTGATATCTGCAAGTTTGCAAAAGGTCACGCAGTGTCACTTGCATTCTGGATGAGTGGATCTGCTGCTTTGCCTCGTGTGTGAATACTAAGGGTTTCAGTTTCAAAACATTCAAACTCTTTCTGTTTGAAAAAAAAAATACTATGAACTGTTTTTGCCACAAAAAGAACCATCAGCACAGAGGAAAATACTTCTGCCAAAGGAGAGTGATCATTAAGAGAACCAGAAAAGTGCACTGTAAGAAATGACATGCTGAGTTTACTTGGCCAAGTTATGTCAACTGGTTCCACTAAGCCTAGTTGCTTAAATGTAAAGAGTAAAATACATTTACATAATCATCATCAACTTTTCTATAAAGCAAACGAATGCCAGGGGGCCAAAGGCACTAAAATGAACTACATCACATCAAAAAAGAGGTGAAAACAATAAAACAGGATAAAAACCTGAAAGGTTGAGACCATAAAACAAGAAGAACAACAATAAAGACGCACATGCTAGAGACTAAAAATGGCCTAGCCTAGCCTTAAATGTTTCCACAGAGGAATCCTCCTTGGTGCTACTTGAACGACCATTCCACAAAGTCAGTGTCTGAGCAGAGGAAGTCCAATACCCTCCTGACTTCAGTTTAAACCAATGAACAGCCAATAAACCCTGATCAAATGACCAGAATTAGCTTGACGGAGCACGGCAGTGTACCAAATCAATCCGGTAAGAAGCAACAGCACCACTCAAGGATTCTAACACAAATAATAACCTTAAAGTCAATCCTAAACTATGCAGGAAGTCAGTGCATGACTGCAGAGGTTGGTGAAATATGTTCCTCCATTCTTTGCCCCTCAAGAGTCCAGCTGCACAATTTTGGGCCTTCTGAAATCTCATGATATACTCCTGATAGATATAACACTGTATAATAATGTTTATTGTTGTTTACAATTAAGCAGCTAGGTTTAGTGCAATCAGTAGACATAACTTGGTTAAGTAAATTCAACATTTTATTTCTCACAGTGTAGTTTGCTGACAGATAGAAATGGAGGGCATCATGAAGGAGATTGAGGAAAAGAAAGCAGTAAAATGAAGATGAGCATGAGTTACTTTGCTACAGAACAGAAGACGGAGAGAAGGAGTAATAAAAAAGTAGAGATGAGGAAAGTTTAGGTGAGACCGGCTGTTCAGTTTCAGCTGACTGGAGATCGATCAGAGAACAGCAACAAAACCACAGGGCTCCTCGTTTTTTGTGTCTCGCTCTCTCTCAGCTGAATCTTTGACTTTTAAATCATTTCAAACATTATCACGTTCTTTCACGTTTAAACTTCACTCAGATCATTGTTACTTTGGCATTTGAAGAAAGTAAAATAAAACTATGGGTATAATACAGATGTTGCAATAAAACCGCCTTTACAAATGAGCTGAAATGAGAAATAACTGCATGAAGTAGCTAATTTTACTGCACCGATTGACTCAAGTTGTTCTCTCTTGGCTGTGACACAGACAAAGCACCTACCTACATGATATTTCACTAGTTCTACATTTTCCTCCCTTAAATATAGTCAAATCCCTCCCAGAGTGTTGTTACTGTACAGCGTACACATGCAGATGTATACATTTTTTAAATAGTTGAAGAAATGTATACAAATGCATTTTGTTCTGCTTTAATATACATGTTATCAACATTTATCATCAAAGGTACGAATTTCGTCAATGAACGCTGAACGTGTTTTGCAGATAGTTATAACCAGGATAAAGTGCTCTTGACTTTAAAACATTCTGTAGGTTTTTTTTTTATTTTTGTGTGGATTTTAGTTCTGTCACTTGTTTCCTGTCAGGCATGATCTCAGACCGATGTCTGTTTCAAATGTTTCTTTTTACTCTTCCCATTTTTAGTTCTTTCACGCGCCCCTCGCTGCTTCCTGATCAATCCCTGCCAACGTTTCCTCAACACGACACAGCTTTATGCTGCCCATTCTGCGTTACGGGGTTGATCTTTTCCAGTGTGACCTCAGCGTCACTGTCTAAATTCCCAGAGACTGCCGGGGATGGTTTCTCCCCCTCGTTGTTCACTATCCCCACCTCCATCTCCGCTCCGAATCCATCTTTCTTCTGTAACTCCTCCTCCTGACACAGGATGCTGTGGGGAATCACGTAACTGGCAGCGTTGTTGCCCTCCTTCGGGATGTGACTCTTGGGTTGATACTGAGAGTTGGGGTTGGACGAGGGGGCGCCCATGTTGTTGTTGATGCTGACGATCTCAATGGCGTTGCTGCCAGGGCAGAGCCGGTGGCAACCCAGGAGGATGGAGAAGGCCTTGCGGAAGTCAGCATTGAAGGCATAGATGATGGGGTTGAGGGAGGAGTTGGCCCAGCCGAACCACACAAACACGTCGAATGTGGTGGAGCTAATGCACGGGAATTCTGTGGAGCCATCCGGTAGGTTCACTTCGCAGAATGGAACCATGCAGTTCAGGATGAAGAAGGGAAGCCAGCAGCACACGAACACGCCCATGATGACAGAGAGGGTCTTTAAGACTTTGGTTTCTCGCTTGAAAGACATTTTGAATGAGCTCTCGCAGTCCATGTTGGAGCTGTTCCCCATGCTGCTGTGGCGGTTTTTGGCGCTCTCCGCTGCTCGCTCCAGAGCCGATATCCTTCTTATCTGTTTCTGGGCTATGCGGTAGATCCGTGTGTAGGTAACAAGCATGATCGCCACGGGGATGTAGAAGCTGATGAGGGAAGAAGAGATGGCGTAGGTTCTGTTAAGGCTGGAGTCACAGTTTTCGTCAGGAGGAAGGTCACTGATGTACGTCCCATTAAGCTCTGAGTAGCTGGTGGTTTGAGCTCTGTGCCAGTTGAGCTGAACTGGGATGAAGGAGATCAGCACAGACAGTGTCCACGCCACACTGATCATCAGACACGCCACTTTTGGGGTCATCTTGCGCTCATAGCGGAATGGGCTTGAGATAGCCCAGTAGCGATCTACGCTGATGACACACAGGTTCAAGATGGAGGCGGTGGAGCACATGATGTCGAACGCGACCCAGACATTGCAGAACGCTCCAAAGGGCCAAAACCCAACAATTTCAGTTGCCGCTTTCCACGGCATTACCAAGATAGCCACCAGAAGGTCGGAAATGGCCAGCGAGATGACAAAGAAGTTGGTGACTTTCGACCTCAGGTGTCTGAACTTTGTGACAGCGACGCACACGAGGGTGTTGCCGAGCAGCGTGGTGAAAATGAGCAATGAGAGGAAGCATCCTGTCAGAACACGTTTAGACGAGTCTCTCTCCAGTGTGAGCTGCCTGCCATCTCGTACGGTTGAGAAGTTTGTATCCATTGTTTTAAATCTGGTGCTAATAGAGTGAGAGAGGGGTTGGGTGGAGAGGATGTCAGCACTCACCCCATCACATCCGCAGCCTGCAGCAGCTGTGCCTCTCTCAGGAGTTCTAGATAGACAGAGTCGCTGGCGGAGAACTCAACTGTCTCGGCACCAGCTCTCCCACAGACTGGGTTATCCTCAGGCTTCTCGTCACAACCAACATTTTTGTCCAACTGCTGCTATAAATATTTTAAAATGTTCTCCTCAGTCGTCTCTGTCCCAAACGCACCAGGTTCAGAGAATCCTGCAAAAGCAGCACCGACGGTCGACATTCTAGTTGGTAGAACCAGGAGAATGCTCCAGCTGATGTTTGCATTTGTTCCTCTGGGCAGCGATCTCTTCATAAAACACTCTGAAACAAAAATGAAAAAAAAAAACATTAAAAAACTATCTATTGCATGTTGATGCAATGAAGCCTTCAGCAAAGGTCCCACAGCTTAATGTTGCTGAGCTTTCAGGGCTTTTGCCAATCATTAGCCTTATATACCACCACATCAATACCTTATTGATGGCTTTTGCTCTGCCTGTATCTGATTAGTTTAATGATCTTCGAGGCATGTCCCTGTGGTTATGTTGGTCTGGATCCACCACAGAAAGGTGTTTTGGTTTCAAATACTAACAAATTAAAGAAAGATGCTTCACTTTCTAACCTTTCATCCCACCTGAGCACAAAGTAAAAACATTAATTTATAAAACTTTACAGATGAATTCATGTAATATCTCATCAATATGAGCAAAACATATTTTAAATTATTATTTTTACTGGTGCATAATCATCTGCATCAGCAGGACAGCAGCTCAAAAATAACTATTAAATCAAAATTATTTTATAATGTATTATTATTATTATTATTATTTAGTTGTTTGTTTGGTTGTTTTTATTTGAACCCAGTGTTGATGTCCTGGACATGCAAACGCAGCTGAATTGTTTTCATCCGGCTCCATCTCCAACGTGCGCCTCGCTATTTGGACAGCCTGAGACATGTTCATGCGTCTCGGTGACTAACATATTTGCATCCAAAATCAACCATTCATTCCCCCAAAATTATTATACATTTCCGCCTTAAATCAATTTCTCCATCTTGCATTTTGACCTCATAAAAACCCCAGCTCTCACCCTCTCCGCGCGCTCCTCCGTGGGAAGTCTGTCAAGCTTCCGGTGCTGAAACGGTCTTCGTGTGTTTTATCTTGCCTCTCTTCTTTTCTTCTGCTACGGAGCATCATCCTTTGTTGTGCAACATTCAGCAGGGCTGCACCGTGATGTGACAGCATGTCTGACTGGCCGGCGGAGACTGATGGGAATGACTGAGGTCTCCAAGAGCGTCTCCGTGCGCGCTCCTCTCTCTCCGCTCAGCTGCGGTGCGCCACGGTCTCTGCCACATCTGCTCCATCCAAGGAGATTTTAAGGGTAAAGCCATGTGAGCTCAACCTACAGAGCTTAGCATTGGAAGATTTTAAGCTATGGGTTCGATTTATGTCAAAGAGATAAAAAAAAAGATGCTTGTTTATTTGTTTATTTACGTTTTTAGTTCCTGATATGATGAGTATCCTGTTTGAATTACTTATAGGCCTACTCAAGTTAAATGAATAACACTCCAGACTTTAAATGATAATGCAATTATTGCATTCACATATTAATGCAAAGATGCACAATCCAAAAATCCTAAGAGTAATTGTCCATATCTGTCCTGGTCGGAACTTTTTCTGTAAGGCACAAGAAGCCCAATGAGGCCATCTACTGGATGCAAAGGAGGTTCTGGAAGGCTGACTGACATGATGTATCAACGTCATTGGGGGGAAAAAAATGTGACTGTAACTGAATTTGCTCAATCTCTGCAGCTAAATCTGTTAAAGTGAATAAATGCATAATTTTGTATACTTACTGAGAGAGGGAATAGTTTCAAACTGCAACATGTTAACAACACGTGTAGAAAAAAAAGGACAGCCTCAGCCAGTTATAACATTAACCATAAGAGATGAAATCCTCAATGGACTATGCCCCAGTTTGTGTGTGTGTGACTTTAGTCATGCATGTGTGCATGTATGACTTTGCATGTGTCTCTGAGTGTGTGTGTTTTGGGGAATTGTGTGCATGTGCATTGGTGTCTGCGTGTATGTGTATCCGTGTGAGTAATGCATGTAGACAAGCCAAGTGTAAGAGGCCTGGCAGACATAACGCCCACATTTCCCTGCAGCAGCAAGACGGGGTGTGCGTGCAGCTGACAGAGTTCAAACCCAGACCACATCATGTACAAACACACTCACTCATTCACTCACATGCACTCACAGGAACACACACAAGCAGTGATGCAGGATAATTAGTGCTTGCTCTAAAAGGCAAACAAATAAAATAGAGCAGATATTGCAGAGGCTCCACTGAGCTCATTGGTTTGTTGATAGTTTATTTTGGCCTTTAAATGTATTTATTGTGTGTGTGTGTGTGTGTGTGTGTGTGTGTGTGTGTGTGTGTGTGTGTGTGTGTGTGTGTGTGTGTGTGTGTGTGTGTGTGTGTGTGTGTGTGTAAGGTATGGCGCCAGACCCGTGCCACAACCCGTGCACGCGCATTGGGTCCACAGCGCGCGTGTGAACGGGACTCGCGAGCGAAAATATACATGGCAGCGCGCGTGTGAACGGGGCTCGCGAGCGAAAATATACATGGCGAGAGGTCATTTGTGCACTGAGAGGGAGCAAACTGTGTCTGTGAGCGCACAAGTGACAAACCTGCGTGCGCGCGTTGCCAACGAGCACACGGCAGAGGAAAACGTGCGCGCGCGGCAGCCTCTGCGCGCTCGGTTTCTAATTCCGCTCGCTCGGCTGTGAGGAGTTTTGGCACTCTGGAGGCGTGGCCTGTGGCAGATCTTCCCTGTCCTCTGATTGGTTAGTTTACCCCGCACTTTACTCTCTACCTATCTATATAAAAAAATCTGAGATTCAGTAGTTGCTGTCATAGCTCAGCTGGGAGAGCGGGTGACTCTCACTCTGGAGGATCCAGGTTCGAGTCCGGCCAAGGAACATTGAGTTGATGTCATATTATTCTTTCCTAATTCCTGTGATATTATTTTACAGTTGTGACCGTTCAACTGTCATTAAACGTCCGAATGTTTTCTGGGCAGTGTTTTAAAAAGTGCACATAAACTAGATGGTTTTAACCAGGTAAAAATAGACTTGTGGGTGTAGGTATGTTCAAGTTTAAAAAGTTCTTGCCTCATTAATGTATTGTTTTTTTTTCAGCATTTAATTGACAAATTATCCTTTCAAATAATTAATTGATGAGTTACATAATTGTCCATTTAGAATTGTTGAATGGACTGAGTCAAGTTTGGTGCACTTTATATATTTCAAAACATGTTTTTTTTATTTTAATGATGCATATAAATAATTTTAATGTTAATTTATTGAAATATTTCTATTTTTTCATTACCTCACCCTTGTTTTGACAATAACAAGACCTTGCTGGATAATATCACAGATAAACTATTTGTTCACAGTACTTGGCTCAGTGAGGATCTGTATACCAAAGGAGGAGATACTCAGAAATCTGTCTGCAGATTGTTACAACCCAGACTGGAAGTGGTGGGCTGTAATAAGAAAGGAGACCAAACAGAGGAGTGGGGGGTTCAAAAACTGATTTATTTAACCAAAGTAAGGATGTTGAACTGTCTGTTGTGCAGTATAACGTCTGATTTCAAGTTCAACTGCAGTATAAGTGCAGTTGAACTTGAGGAAAATATATGACTCTGGAAGAGAGGGGAATATGGCCATTGACACCTCAGATCAGTGCAGTCAAGAATTACTGGTGTTTGGGTAGTCCTGAACGTGTTGTGATGCCCCCACCGTCTCATTGGGTTTTCATTTGTGTTTAATTGTGTTTTTCTTCTGTTGTAGGCAGCTCGTTAAGCAGCCTTGGAGGCACCTGGGCTCAGGGTGTGGTGCTGCCTACAAAGCCTTCTGTTTTTCTGCTTTCACTGGGTCTCTCCTGTGTGGTGGAGAGTCCTCACTGGCCATTTTCTGTTCACTAACTTGCTTTAGTAAATCCTTACTTTGGTTAAATAAATCAGTTGTTGAACCCCCACTCCTCTGTTTGGTCTCCTTTCTTATTACAGCCCACCACTTCCAGTCTGGGTTGTAACAATCTGCAGACAGATTTCTGAGTATCTCCTCCTTTGGTACACAGATCCTCACTGAGCCAAGTACTGTGAACAAATAGTTTCGCCGTGATATTATCCAGCAAGGTCTTGTTTTTGTCAAAACAAGGGTGAGGTAATGAAAAAATAGAAATATTTCAATAAATTAACATTAAAATTATTTTTATGCTTCATTAAAATAAAAAAAACATGTTTTGAAATATATAAAGTGCACCAAACTTGACTCAGTCCATTCAACAATTCTAAATGGACAATTATGTAACTCATCAATTAATTATTTGAAAGGATAATTTGTCAATTAAATGCTGAAAAAAATAAACAATACATTAATGAGGCAAGAACTTTTTAAACTTGAACATACCTACACCCACAAGTCTATTTTTACCTGGTTAAAACCATCTAGCTTATGTGCACTTTTTAAAACACTGCCCAGCAAACATTCGGACGTTTAATGACAGTTGAACGGTCACAACTGTAAAATAATATCACAGGAATTAGGAAAGAATAATATGAGATCAACTCTATGTTCCTTGGCCAGACTCGAACCTGGATCCTCCAGGGTGAGAGTCACCCGCTCTCCCAGCTGAGCTATGACAGCAACTACTGAATCTCAGATTTTTTTATATAGATAGGTAGAGAGTAAAGTGCGGGGTAAACTAACCAATCAGAGGACAGGGAAGATCTGCCACAGGCCACGCCTCCAGAGTGCCAAAACTCCTCACAGCCGAGCGAGCGGAATTAGAAACCGAGCGCGCAGAGAGGCTGCCGCGCGCGCACGTTTTCCTCTGCCGTGTGCTCGTTGGCAACGCGCGCACGCAGGTTTGTCACTTGTGCACATCCTTGTGCGCTCACAGACACAGTTTGCTCCCTCTCAGTGCACAAATGACCTCTCGCCATGTATATTTTCGCTCGCGAGTCCCGTTCACACGCGCGCTGCCATGTATATTTTCGCTCGCGAGTCCCGTTCACACGCGCGCTGTGGACCCAATCCGCGTGCACGGGTTGTGGCACGGGTCTGACGCGATAGTAAGACATGTGATTTTCACCTCTTCTCTCACATTTCCCCAAAACACCTTGTTTCAGCTTCTGTCTCTTTAAGGCCCTTTTTCCAAAAGTCACATCACGCCTTGATTGGTTTAAACGTTGGCGTACAGCTGCCTACTCTTTGTTTGAGGCATTCCACATTAACATGCAGGCATTATGTAAATGTGGCTTATGTGAATTCATTAAAGAAGGAAAAGATTGGACAAGGAAAAAGGTGAAGGCAGGTAAAAATAAGGGGATTACTCTTCTGGGATTTCGAAGTTTGCATCTCATTGAAACAAAGTAAAAAATTAGGGATTTTCTCTTCAAGTCTCCTTGTTTCGACACCATTATAAAGTCGAAAGACTAAAGAGGCGGTGTTGATGCTCTTGAGTTCAACTCTGAAGCAAAGCAACGGTTTTGACTTATCCCATCTAATGCTCTTGTTTCACACAGCCCCCTTTCTCAGGTCTTGATTTATTCTTGGGGATTTGGAAATCTTGGCTGTTTGGTTCAAGATTGGTCGTTAGGTTTAAAAGGATTTAAGTTCACAGTGTTGCAGGTCAGGTCAGCAGAAGAACTCGCATGCACTTCTCCACACGTGAAATCTCACCCATCCCTCCAGAAAAGGGACAAAAGTTTAAAATGAAAGTAAAATCATTTGACCTGGAAACAGTCTGTGCTTTTGTAACTCTGCGGATGTGATGGGTACAGCTGCTTGAGGGGAAGCAGGACCAAGCTTCATCATGAGCAACATGCACACAGATGAATCCATTTCAACTTTAAACCTGAGGTTACATTATTTGCACCAACTTTTAGACACTTACTGACTTTTACAGTTAAAACAAGACGCTCTGTCTTCATTTGAATGTGAAATCAATGAATAAAGAACCCAATGAAATCCTTGTTTTAGATTCACCAGATGCAATGTACGTTTTGTTCAAGCAGCTGCAAGTTTCTAAATTTCAGAATCATCAGAAAAACTTTTGAAACTTCATGTAAGATTTTTTTTAACAGTAACTCCTTGCACCTTCAGTCCAGCGCCATATCAGTCCACAGAAAATGTTTTCGATGAGGATTCGTGGAATTTTGAGCATGAGCTTTCAGCAAAATGCTTGGAGATTAATGTCTGCGTGACTGGTTCTCCTCTACTTTATTAACCTACTTTAACAAATTAAATTGCAAACAGATGGTCCAAATATTAACTGCAGGGAGTCTTTTATCCCCGAATGCGTGTTGAGAATGAAGATGCTGTAAAGGGTTGTGTGTGTGTGTGTGTGTGTGTGTGTGTGTGTGTGTGTGTGTGTGTGTGTGTGTGTGTGTGTGTC